AGTGATCCTCCCCCCTCAGCCTCCAAAGTAGCTGGGATTACAGGTGCACGCCACCACACCCAGCTACTTTTTGTATTTTTGGTAGAGATGGGGTCTTGCCATGTTGGCCAGGCTGGTCTTGAACTCCTGACCTCAGGTGATCTGCCTGCCTCAGCCTCCCAAAGTGCCGGGATTACAGGTGTGAACGACTGCACCCAGTCAAGATGGTAAATTTTATGTTATGTGTATTTTACCACATTTTTTTTTTAAAAGACTGCTTCTAACCCTAAACCCAAAGCATAGCATTGTTTATTCTTCAGCAGTGATCTGTGGTCTGGCTGGTATTGAGTTCCCGGTTGAAACAATGTTCCCTACAAATTTGGAAGCATTGGTTCCATGATCTTGCAGTCCTTTTTCCTTTTTTTTTTTTTTGAGACGGAGTTTCGCTCTTGTTGCCCAGGCTGGAGTGCAGTGGTGCAATCTCGGCTCACCACAACCTCTGCCTCCTGGATTCAAGGGATTCTCCTGCCTCAGCCTCGCAAGTAGCTGTAGTGCACACCTGTAATCCCAGCTACTTGAGAGGCTGCAGTCCTATTTTTCAAGTTGGGAAGTCCGATGCCATTCTTACTGCAGACCCCTCGCATGTGAGGGGTGGGAGCCTTCTCCCTTGGACCTGGTACTCTAGTATTCTACACCCTTAACCAGATGTGGGTCTTACATTCTTGCTTCTGGGCTTTTATGGATCGTTTAAATTTAAAAACTCATTCTGAGTAAGTTCTGGAAACTTCCTTGGTTGTTTTTTGGCTGTCTGGTTGGTTTTGTCTTTGGGGAACAGCTTTCAGTCAGATATTGGATCTTCTAGACCAATTCTTCATTTCCTTTCCTCTTGTTCCACTTTCGAGATTTCTTTTTTTTTTTTTTTTTTTGAGACGGAGTCTCACTCTGTCACCCAGGCTGGAGTGTAGTGGCACCATCTCGGCTCACTGCAACCTCTGCCTTCCGGATTCAAGTGATTCTCCTACCTCAGCCTCCCGAGTAGCTGGGATTACAGGCATGTACCACCACACCCGGCTAATTTTTGTAGTTTTAGTAGAGACAGAGTTTCGCCATGTTGGCCAGACTAGTCTCGAACTCCTGGCCTCAAGTGATCCACTCGCCTTGTCCTCCCAAAGAGCTGGGATTACAGGCGTGAGCCACAGCACCCGGTTGAGATTTCATAGATTTCTTTTAACTAGCCTACCACAAGAGCATCTTCTGCTTTGACCCACCCCTCTAAAAACAAAAAGCCTAGAAGTACTTAAGAAATGTCAATTTAACATATTATCATGACTCAAATTGTTGATCAAAATAAACAATTGCCCTCCCAGTCTTATTTCTGGAATTTACAAGTTGCTTCCGTAGGAGGTCATACCATCTGAGGTCTGGTTGTCTTTCAAGACTCTTGTGCAAACAACTCTTTCCAGGACAGATTTCTATTAACAGAGCTAATTTGTTTTATGAATAGTTCCACAAATTCCCACATTGGCCAGGAAGGCAAGATTGATGCTCTTATGAAAGTTCTTGGCTGAGCGTGGTGGGTCACACCTGTAATCCCAGCATTTTGGGAGGAGGCGGACAGATCAAATGAGGTCAGGAGTTTGGGACCAGCCTGGCCAACATGGTGAAACCCCGTTTCTACTAAAAATACAAAAATTAGTGAGGTGTGGTGGTGCACGCCCGTAACCCTACCTACTCCAGAGACTGAGGCAGGGGGATTGCTTGAACCTGGGAGGCGGATGTTGCAGTGAGCTGAGATTGTGCCACTGTACTCCAGCCTGAGTGACAGATCGAGACAGTGTCTCAAAAAGGAAAAAAGTTCTTGTTTTGACCCCTATTATGTCTGATTCTTAAACTCATTTTTATGATGGAGACTAGCAAGTATTTCTGATTTTTTTAGCTTCAAGGGAGAAAGGATACCTCTTCATCTTTCTGAGGCTTGTTTCATAGAGGTTGTTTATTAGGAAGAGTTTAATTCTAAGGTCCAGGCATTAGAATTTCATCAGTTAGTACTCAAAGAAAGAACTGGCCTGGACGGGCGCAGTGGCTCATGCCTGTAATCCCAGCACTGTGGGAGACTGAGGCAGGCAGAGAGGTCAGGAATTCAAGACCAGCCTGGCCAACACGGTGAAACCCCATCTCTATTAAAAATTAAAAAATTAAGGCCGGGCGCCGTGGCTCACGCCTGTAATCTCAGCACTTTGGGAAGCCAAGGCAGGTAGATCACCTGAAGTTAGGAGTTCCAGACCAGCCTGACCAACATGGTGAAACCCTGCCTCCATTAAAAATACAAAAGTAGCTGGGCATGGTGGCACACACCTGTAATCCCAGCTACTTGGGAGGCTGTGGCAGGAGAATCATTTAAACCCGGGAGGCAGAAGTTGCAGTGAGCTGAGATCGTGCCATTGCACTTCGGCCTGTGCAACAAGAGCAAAACTACATGTCAAAAAAAAAAAAAAAAAAAAAAATTAGCCGGGCATGGTGATGTGCGTCTGTAATCAGCTATTCGGGAGGCTGAGGCAGGAAAATTGCTTGAACCCAGGAGGCAGAGGTTGCTGTGGGCCAGGACACATCATTGTACTCCAGTCTGGGTGACAGAGTGAGACTCTGTCTCAAAAAATTAAAAAATAAAAAAGAGCTGGTATGAGGAGGCCAAGTGTTTTTTTCTTTTTTCTTTTTTTTTTTTTTTGACAGAGTTTTGCTCTCGTTGCCCAGGCTGCAGTGCAGTGGCGAAATCTTGGCTCACCATCACCTCCGCCTCCCGGATTCAAGCAATTCTCCTGCCTCAGCCTCCTGAGTAGCTGGGATTACAGGCATGCACCACCACACCTGGCTAATTTTGTATTTTTAGTAGAGACGGGGTTTCTCCATGGTGGTCAGGCTGGTCTTGAACTCCCGACCTCAGGTGATCCGCCCGCCTCGGCCTCCCAAAGTGTTGGGATTACAGGCGTGAGCCACTGCACCCAGAGGAGGCCAAGTTCTAAAAGTGGACAAAAGATAAAATTATTTGATAATTCTGTGACTTGACCATATTGGAATCAGGAGCATTGGAAATTTTCTACAATATTGTAGTTCAACGTCAGAAATATTTTCTTAGAAGATGGAGTTTCTGTTTCTCGTTCCTTGTGAGGGGGTAATTTGGGAGAAGAAAATGGGAAAAAGCTGCCTCTACTCCACCTTCCTGAAAAGACATATTTGGGGCGTCTTCTACCACAGAGCTTCTGCACATGCCAGTGCCTCTGAATAGAATGCACACTCCCACTTGCCGGGCTAACTTTTTCATCTTTAGATTTTTTTTTTTTTTTTTTTTTTTTTGAGATGGAGTCTTGCTCTATCACCCAGGCTAGAATGCAATGGCACAATCTCAGCTCACTGCAACCTCCGCCTCCCAGGTTCAAGCAATTCTCCTGTCTCAGCCTCCCAAGTAGCTGGGACTACAGGTGTACACCACCATGCCCAGCTAATGTTTGTGTTTTTAGTAAAGACAGGGTTTCACCATGTTGGCCAGGCTGGTCTCGAACTCCTGACCTCAGGTGATCCGCCTGCCTCAGCCTCTGAAAATGCTGAGATTACAGGTATGAGCCACTATGACCGGCCCAGAGTTGAATCTCCACACATGCAGAGGCAATGGGAAGGCCTGGGACTCTGGGAAGGGGAGCTGTAACTGGCTGGCTCATTAAGTTCATAGCAACCCTGAAATGCGGGTTTATCTGGTTCTTTCCATTTTATGTATAGGAAAACTGCCACCTAGAGAGGTTAAACTGTGTGCCCAAAGTCCTCCAGCCAGGAAAAGGCTGAACCTGGGTTTAGTCAAGGTGGAACCCGACACCCACAGTGCTCCTCAGAACAGGAAGGCCTGGGGAAGTTCCCTTTCTAATGGGGCCTCTGGAGCCCTCCCCATATGAAATCCCTGCTTGTATTTCCTTACTGCTGTTACTTCCCCTAAGGGTTTGAGAATTTTGTTGAAACATGACTTCAGTTTGGTGGTACCACTGAGTCACTGGATTCAAGGCTGAGACCATGTGGGTAGCACAGATGAAGGAACAGCCTCTGGACTTGGGTTGCTCCTTCTAGCTGGGAGGAAGTGGAGGGTGTCTTAGTCTGTTTCCTGTTGCTATAATAGAATGCCGCTGACTGGATAATTTATAAAGAAAATAAATTTATTTCTGGCTGGCATGGTGGCTCATGCCTATAATCCCAGCACTTTAAGAGGCCGAGATGGGTGGATCACCTGAGGTCAGGAGTTTGAGACCAGCCTGGTCAACATGGTGAAACCCTGTCTCTACCAAAAATACAAAAATTAGCTGGGTGTGGTGGCAGGTGCCTGTAATCCCAGCTACTCGGGAGGCTGAGGCAGGAGAACTGCTTGAACCCGGGAGGCAGAGGTTTCAGTGAGCCAAGATTGTGCCATTGCACTCCAGCCTGGGCAACAAGAGTGAAACTCCGTCTCTAAAAAAAAAAAAAAAATTTTTTTTTTTTTAAATTTCTTACAGTTTTGGAGGCTGGGAAGTCCAAGGCTGAGGGGCTGCATCTTGTGAGGACCTTCTTGCTGTGTCGTGACATGGCAGAGGGCATCACAGGGTGAGAGGGAAGAGCATGTCAACTCAGGCATCTCTTCCTCTTCTTGTAAAGCCACCAGAACCACCATGAGGGCCCCACCCGGATGACCTGATCTAATCCTAAATACCTCCCAAAGGCTCCACTTCCAAGTGCCATTAACATAAGAATATGGGGATTAAGTTTCCAACACCTGAAATTTGCAGGACACATTCAAACCTCAGCAGAGGGTAATAATACCTGCCCACCTAATGGGGCAGGATCCAAGGACCTGGAGAGGAAAGGAAGAAGGAGCTTCTTAATCTTAATGTATTTCAATTCAACTCTGTCCATATTGCTGGCCTGCCTGTTTAGGGCACATTGTGGGGTTGCCAGGCAACAGTGGTGAGTGTCCTCCCAGCACTCACACAGGGCGGATCCAGTGTGTGAGGACTGCTCAAGCAGATCTTCCTTCCACAGCTTGAGGACCAGGGAAGCGTGCCCAGAGGAAGTCATGGGTGAGCCAAGGGTGAGTGGGAGACAGAGGGGGAGCTAAGAACAGAGGAGAGCATACAGGGAAACTGAAAGAGATTTAGAGTAGGAGGCAGAGAGCAGTCAGGCATGCAGGACCCCAGAGGCCTCAGTAAGGAGTTTGGTCTTTAGGGATGAGTTCTTGATTGATTCAAATGAGGGATGTGGTGTGAATTGCATTTTAGCAAGACTCTACTGAGGTGTGAAGATGGCTTGGCAGGGCAGGGAGGGGCAGTTAGGAGGCTGGTGAGGTTGCTCAGAGGAGAGGATGGAAACCCAGCCTGGAAGGCCGAGGGGAGAGGCAGGTAGGAGGCAGAATGGAGTGAGGGGCGAAGCCCGTGGGGTCTAGGTGAAGGGGCTCATCTCTCCTGTCTGGGTAAGGTGCTTCTCGTTCTGCTCCGAGTCCAAAGTAGGGATCATTGAGGGGCCGTGTGCTGGGAAGGGAGCCCACCAGGCTGTGCTGGACTTGCTTGCAGCCCTGCTGGGACCATGTGCACCACGACATACCTGGAGCCCAGTCCTGAGCCTTCCTAGAATAACTAGGGCCTGAGTGCCAGGTCCAGGCTGTCATCCCCTCCAGGTGGGTGCTGGCTTCCAGAGGGGCTACTGCTGCAGCCATCTGTGCGGGGGGCCTCCTCCCTGCTTTCTAAAGAAGCCTGGAGCAGTGAGCTATTAGGAGAGACAAGAGGTCTCTGTCCAAGGGAGTGATTCCAGCCACTGGGGGCTGCAGGGGCCAGTGGAGACCTAGTGACCACCCAGAGGACAGAGAGAGGAGGAGAGGTGGGGGGTGGGTCACCCTCTGCCCTTCCCTGAAACCCTGCCACCTGAGCCCCCTCTTCTTCTTCTTCTTTTTTTTTTTTTTTTGAGGCGGAGTCTCACTCTGTTGCCAGGCTGGAGTGCAGTGGCTCACTGCAACCTCCGCCTCCTGGGTTCAGGCAATTCTCCTGCCTCAGCCTCCTGAGTAGCTGAGATTACAGGCATGTGCCGCCAGGCCTGGCTAATTTTAGTATTTTTAGTAGTGACAGGGTTTCACTATGTTGGCCAGGATGGTCTTGATCTCTTGACCTTGTGATCCACCTGCCTTGGCCTCCCAAAGTGCTGGGATTACAGGCGTGAGCCCCCGTGCCCGGGCGAGCCCCCTCTTCTTACAGTTTTGTAAGTAGAAGTCCTCAGAATCATCCTCCCCGATGTGGGGGATGTGGCCTTACTCTGTCCTGCTTCCAAGACTGTGTCCAGGCTAGCCTTGAGCCCCAGGTGTGCACACATCTGCCCTGATTTCTGTGGCATAAAAGGCCTCAATCTCTCAGCACCTTCCCCATAACCTGCCCCTCTCTTGTGTTCCCCTCCACAGTGGATGACACCTGTAAACCCTGGATGCCCAGCCAGAGTCCTCAGAAGCACCCTAGGTCTTCTTCCTTCTCCCTAGACTCTCCAGCGTGGTCCAGGCCGCATCATCTTGCCCTGAGACCATCTCACTGCTAGTCTTCCCACCTCCAGCCTCGCCTCTCCAGGACTGTCCCCTCCCTCCCATCCGCTCTTCCTTAAAAAAAAAAAATCATCCTCACATTGTGGTGACATTAAATGTGATTTGCACAATTCTTTCACAAATATCAAATTAATATGATTTTCCTCTCTAATCTCCTTGCACAACATATTGGAAATTACAATTATTATTAAAACAAAAAATACATACATATTTATTTATTTGTATATTTTTATTGATTTATTTAGAGACTGGGTTATTAGACTGGCTAATTTTTGTATTTTTGGTAGAGATGGGTTTTGCCATGTTGCCCAGGCTGGTCTCGAACTCCTGGATTCAAGCAATCCTCCTGCTTCGACCTCCCAAAGTGCTGGGATACAGGTGTAAGCCACCACACCTGGCCCCTCTGCTCTTCCTAAATGCAGTTCTGACATGTCACCTCCTGCTTCAACACTTCCAGGACTCCCCATGACCCTCAGGTGAAGTCTGAGCTCCTGACGACATGGTCCTTTGTGTCCTGGCCCCTGACAATATGCCATTCTCATCTATTGCCTTCCCCTTCCAGAACATTCTCTCCGGCCGCATCAAATCACTTGCATTTCCTCAATCCTGAAACACCTCCTCGCTTCCCCAACCTTTTGCAGATGGCTGGAATACTCCTCCCACTCTTTCTTATTTATTTTTTGTATTTTTAGTAGGGGCGGGGTTTCACCATGTTGGCCAGTCTGGCCTTGAACTTCTGACCTCAAGTGATCCACCCACCTCAGCCTTCCAAGGTGCTGGGATACAAGTGTGAGCCACCGCGCCCGGCCTCTCCTCCCCACTCTTGTGCCTGGATAACCTTTATTTATCCCTCAGATCCCAGCCCTGACAGCCCTCCTCCAGCGAAGCCCTCCTGGTGGCCAGGCTGGTTAGGCACTTCCTTGGTTTGCTCCTGTCCCAACATTGATTCATTCATTCAACAAATTTTTGTGGTGTGCCAGCGATGTGCTAGGCTGTTCCAGCCATTTTGAATACACTGGGAATCAAAACAGACAACAGCCGCTGTCCCTAAGTGGAGCTTACACTCAAACGAGGGAAGGGGGAAGGCGGACTGTAAACAATATGCAGTCAATAAGTAAAGGATTCCACCATAGGGGTGGTATGTGGTAGAGGGGATGGTGCTGTGGGAACAGTGGAGCGAGTGGGGAGGTTAGGGATAAGGAGTTGGGAGTGAAGAGGGTTGGCCTCATTGAGATGGTGGCCTTGCGGCCAAGACGTTGTCAATGCCCTCCAGCCACAGACTCCTAGGAACACAGGGACATCTGAATAAGTTGGGTTTGTGACTCATACGGATAGCACACGCCATGGGAAACTCAGTAAGCTGTGTTAGAAAGGACTTACAGAATTTGGGTTAGATAACTTTGGAGTGCTTAAGAAAGCAGGGCTTCAGGCCCGGCGTGGTGGCTCACGCCTGTAATCCCAGCACTTTGGGAGACTAAGGAGGGTGGATCACTTGAGGTCAGAAGTTCAAGACCAGCCTGACCAACATGGTAAAACCCCGTCTCTACTAAAAATACAAAAAGTAGCTGGGCATGGGGGTACGTGCCTGTAATCCCAGCTACTCTAGAGGCTGAGGCAGGAGAACTACTGGAACCCGAGAGGTGGAGGTTGCAGTGAGCTGAAATCATGTCACTGCACTTCAGCCTGGGTGACAGAGTGAGACTCCATCTCAAAGAAAAAAAGAAAAAGAAAAAAGAAAGCAGGGCTTCCCTCTGGATGGGATGCTGTGCAGAAGCAAGGGTACTTCTATGGCTGAGGACATTAATACATTTTATCTAGAGGGAGGCAAGACTAGACCAAGGCTAGAGCTGTGATCAGTAAGAAGCAACAGCTTCTCCTATGAGCCAGGACAGGGGGTTGTATTTGTTTCTGGGTCCGCTGTAACAAATGACTACAAACTTGGCAGCTTAAAGTGACATAAATGTATCTTCTCACAGTTCTAGAGGCCAGACATCAAGGTGTTGCAGCGTTGATTCCTTCTGAAAGCTCTGAGGCAATCCCTGTGCTCCTTGGCTTGTAGATCGATCATTCTAACCTCCGTATCTTCCCATGGCCTTCCCCTCTGTGTCCCTGTCTTCTCCTTTTCCTTTTTTTTTTTTTTTTTTTTTTTTTTTGAGATGGAGTCTTGCCCTTTCACCCAGGCTGGAGTGCAATGGTGCGATCTTGGCTCACTGCAACCTCTGCCTCTCGGTTCAAGCGATTCTCTTGCATCAGCCTCCCAAGTAGCTTACAGGTGCACACCAGCACGCCCAGCTGATTGTTTTGTATCTTTAGTAGAGATGGAGTTTCCCCATGTTGGCCAGGCTGGTCTCAAACTCCTGACCTCGTGATCCACTTGCCTTGGCCTCCCAAAGTGTTGGGATTACAGGTGTGAGCCACCACTCCTGGCCTCCTTTTCTGTCTCCTATTAGATCATTCCTGGATTAGAGCAAATCCTAATGCAAGAAGTTCTCATCTGAAGATCCTTACCTTCATTACATTTGCAAAGATCCTACTTCAACTGTGACATTCTGAGGTCCTGGATGAATGTTTTAGAGCCTACAAGTCAACACCCACTGCAGGGATGATTGGTCCTTTTTGTGGCTTGGACAATGTTCATGTTTTATTTGTGCTCAGACATGACTGTGGAGTGGTCCTGTTTGTGTTGTGATCCATCATGGTCACAGGGTGGTTTGTCTGCTGCTGATGTCCTGTGAAGTCGTTTAGGTTCAGCTGGAGAATACCGAGAATCCCAGCCCCGCTGGGCTCCAGGCCGGCTCCAGGTCAGGGCCTGCTTTTCTCTTTCTCAACATAGGGACAGGGAGCCAGGGAGCCCTGCTGATGCCTGGGAGAGAGGTCCAGTCACAGGGGCAGGACGGGCATGTGACCTGAGGGTGGAAGGAGCAGCCAGAAGCCCATGGGCTATAGGGGCGCGAGCAGGGGGAAGCAGAGAGGTGATGGGAGGGTGAGGGTGTGCAGGGCAGGGCGAGGAGAGAAGCAAACATGACCGACTGCAGAGGGAATGAGTGCTGGGGGAAGAGCCTGCCTGGAGTGGGTTCAACAGCAGATGGAGGAGAGCAACTGGGGACAGCAAGTGGAGCAGAGAAATGGGAGGGCATCTGGGGCAGCTGGCGGGGAGTGGAATCAAGAGGATTTGCTTAATTTTCCATGAAGGAGAGGACAGTAATGGTGAGCCTGGATGCTGCTGCCAGTGACCCAAAGGAGAGAGAGGACTGCCGCCAGCAGGATGGGGCACAGTGGGAGCAGGTGCCCTGATGGGGGAGGTGGGGATGTGGGGCCGCTGAGGCAGGCAGGTTGGGAGCTGGGGTGAGGGGCTGAGGGGTGCACTTCCTGCTGGTAACCCTGCCCCTGGCTATGGGTGCCAGCCTCTATGGGGAGCTGCCCAGGCCCAACCTGGCACAGTTGTGGAGACTCAGTAGTACTTGAAGAAGCCCCACATACCACAAAGGGGACAGAGATAGAGACAGAGGGGACAGGAAATCGAGAAGGAAAAAACTCAGAAAGGGAACAAAATCAGAGCCTATCACAGACGTGGAAAGGGCAGGGGAGGCAGCCTGGGCTGGGGGGTCCCCTGCACTGTCCCTGCTCCAAAACCTCAGGGCCGGGCTAGAACACCCACTGCATGGCTTGCCAGGGCTGTGACCTGGGACTGTGTACCCTGAGCCTCAAGCTCCCCATTTGTAAAATGAGGACACGGCCAACCTCCTCTCAGGGCTGTGAAAGGAATTAAGGAGGTAACTCTCATAAAGTGCCCGGCAGTGAGCCAGATTCTCTTCCTTCCCTCTCTCATCTCCTGCCCCACAGCCCTGGAGGTCTTTCAAAAGTGGGCACAGGGCCCAGCCTGCTGGCAGAGGCTGGAACTGCACCCATGCCCCGGTTAAAGGTAGAAGCTTCAGCATCCAATTCCCTCCATGGAACAGGCAATGGTTTTATTCCCTCACCACAGAGAACATCCAACTCCACAGGCATTCAAGGGCCTTCCCTCTACCCCGGCACATGCCAGACTTTAGTCCACTCTGCCCCATTTGTGCTCCCACGGTAGCCCCTGCGTGGAGCGCCCTCCCCTCCACCACGTGGAGATATCCAATGTCATGCTCTTTGAAGCCCCCCTCCCCTCCCACAGGCAGAACTAACGGGGAACTCTCTCTTCAGTCTTTTTTTGTGTGTGTGATGGAGTCTCACAGTGTCACCTAGGCTGGAGTGCAGTGGCACGATCTCACTCACTGCAACCTCTGCCTCTCGAGTAGCTGGCATTACAGGCTTGCACCACCATGCCCGGGTAATTATTGTATTTTTAGTAGAGATGGGGGTTTCGCCATGTTGGCCAGGCTAGTCTCGAACTCCTAACCTCAGGTGATCCGCCCAGCTCAGCGTCCCAGTGTGCTGGCATTACAGGTGTGAGCCAGTGAGCCCAGCCGTCTTCAGTCTTCTTGAAACACCTGGTGTTTTCTCTAGATTTGCTAAGCTGTGAGAAAGAGAGCACTAGAACACCTGCTTGTCTCCTTGTGTGGAGAGACTCATGAGAGGCCATGGACCCCCTTACTCACCTGCTACCCCATGGATTTTCTATCGTCTGAACCTGACCAGTCACTGCCAGTGCCTGAGACCTTCCCAAGGAAGCCTCCCCTACTCTGGGTGAGGGTGTGTGTGTTGTAAGTTTCTCTGCATTTTCCAAAGTATCTACCTGAGCATATATGTGTGTGTGTGTATGTATGTATGTATATATGTATATATGTGTGTGTGTGTGTATATATATATATATATATATATATTTTTTTTTTTTTTTAAAGAAAAATATCCTTCAGTGCCTTCCTGGTAATTCCCTAGCAAGGCTTACAGGGCAGGCTCTCCTCCCTGCTCCCACTCACCAGCCACCCCCATCCCATGTCCTTTTTTCAGACCCCTCTCATGGTGGCCCCTCTGCTGGGAAAACCATGGTCCACATGCCTCTGGTAATAATTGCTATTCTCACCCACCCCATCTTTCCACTCGAGCTGTCAAGGGTCTGGACAGCATCATGAGTGCGTGGCTGTCTCCCTCTAGGTGATCCTCTTGTAGTAGCTGGGGTAGCAGGGGTGGTGCGCTTCCATAGGCCCAAGTCACGGACGTCCGACCCACGCAAGTTGAATGAAGCAAGTCCTCACTGCCATAGTTTGCTCATTTGCAAAATGAAGGGTCTAGACGGAACCTCCCAGGTGTCTTTTTGACTCTGAAATTCTGACCTGTATGTGGTAGTGAACATATTTTAGGCAAACTTTGGTCATCAAATAGCTGATCCTGGGCCAGGATCCCCTGGGGAACGGGCTGTTCTGTCGGCAGATGTCTTTCTCCACAGGATTCATCACCTCACCCGCCCCGGGGAGGGGAACACGGGTCTACTTTCCCTCCTTAGCAGGTGGCCCATCAATGGGCACAGGATTTCGGGGAAACCAGCAGTCACTTCCCATCCGGGGTGGGTTTGCATCCCAAGATGGGGACAGGCTGCATCCCTCAGCAGCACTGTGCCCACCTGAGTGTGAGGCCACTGCCAATCCTGGTAGCGGACAGGAGGGGCTCATCCATTTGTTTGTCATCCAGAGCTGATTAGGGTAAGAGGCAGGTGAGCCCCATCTTGGGGTGCTTATCTCTGAGGGGCACATAAAACATAATTGGAATCAGAAACATGGCGCCAGTTAAGCCAGGCTGCCACACATACATGCCTCCTTCCCAGTTCTGCTTCTGCCTAATTGGGCCCTTAAAGTACACGAAGTATCAGCCAGGGGCGGTGGCTCATGCCTGTAATCCCAGCACTTTGGGAGGCTGAGAAAGGAATATCACCTGAGGTCAGGAGTTTGAGACCAGACTGGTCAACATGGCAAAACCCCACCTCTACTAAAAACACAAAAATTAGCTGGGCATGGTGGCTGGCGCCTGTAGTCCCAGCTACTCGGGAGGTTGAGGTAGTAGAATCGCTTGAACCCAGGAGGCGGAGGTTGCAGTGAGCTGAGATCGCACCACTGCACTCCAGTCTGGGGGACAGAGTGAGACTTTTGTCTCAAAAAAATAAAACAACAACAAAAAAAAACGGTGCCTCACGCCTTTAATCCTAGCACTTTGGGAGACCGGGGCGGGGGGATCACCTGAGGGCAGGAGTTCAAGACCAGCCTGGCCAACATGGTGAAACCCCATCTCTAACCAAAAAAAAAAAAAAAAATCAGCCAAACACGATGGCAGACGCCTGTAATCCCAGCTACTCGGGAGGCTGAGGCAGGAGAATTGCTTGAACCCAGGAGGCAGAGGTTGCAGGGAGCCAAGATTGTGCCACTGCACTCCAGCCTGGGCCACAAAGAGAGAAGTCTCAAAAAAAAAAAAAAAAAAAAAAAAGCATGGCATAACCTTCTCATCAGGAAGGACTGATTTTATCTCAACTATATCTAACATACTTTAACATACTTCCAATAAGTTGTCCAGTTTGGACTTTTTTCTTTTTTTGGAGACGGAGTCTCGCTTTGTTGCCAAGCCTGGAGTGCGGTGGCGCAGTCTCAGCTCACTGCAAGCTCCTCCTCCTGGGTTCAGGTCATTCTCCTGCCTCAGCCTCCCAAGTAGCTGGGACTACAGGCACCCACCACAACGCCCAGCTAATTTTTTGTATTTTTAGTAGAGATGGGGTTTCACCGTGTCAGTCAGGGTGGTCTCGATCTCCTGACCTCATGATCCGCCCCTCTCAGTCTCCCAAAGTGTTGGGATTACAGGCATGAGCCACTGCACCCGGCCCAATTTGGACATTTTTTAAGGAACTACAAAACAGGCCGGACTCGGTGGCTCACGCCTGGAATCCCAGCACTCTGGGAGGCCAAGGTAGTTGGATCACCTGAGGACTGAAGTTTGAGACCAGCCTGGCCAACATGGTGAAACCTCGTCTCCACTAAAAATACGAAAATTAAAGGGTGCGCCACCCATGGACCAAGCATATCCCCACCTTAAACTCTGGATTCAGACTAGTTTCAATCCTGTCTTCAGTACAGGGGGCTCATAGGGAAGTTTATTTTGTCTGAGTCTCAGTTTTCTCATCTATAAAATGCAGACAGAAATAGAATTCCTCTCGGGGCTATGAGAACTAGATGACATGCTGTGAATGTACCTACCTACACGGTAGGTAGGCAGGCAGGTGCTCAGTGATTGTTCAGCACTACCAACAGTACCATCTTCACTATCATGAGAGGAAGGTATTGTCCTGATGAGGATCCTCATGTTTACAGACCCTCTGGGAAGTCAACTCTTGCACAGCTGATGTTATGAATTTCTGTTCTTCAGAAGGCTGCTCCTGCTACAAGTCTGCACTGGACCCAAGGATCTGGAACCTAGTGGGCATCTTCATTCCAAAGCCACATGCAAGTCTCACACACACACTGTACTTACTGCAAATCAGATTCTGTATGCAGGCATATTCCTTCAATTCAAATTCTTGCTGAAATCCCTCCTAAACTTACTTACCTTTAGCTTCCGTTTGCTCCTGTGTCACCAAGCTATGGCTCAAATGCACAGAGCTCTGACTGCAGGGTGGGTGACAGGGCTTATGCAAATGCCCTAAGCCCGGTCTCCTGTCATGAGGTCTCCTGATGAAGGGCACCAAGCACTTCCGAACCGATGCTGCTTTGTGATGCTTCAGTCTGGGGACTAGATTCTCTCATTAGAATTTCCACACTCATTTAGGGGCATCTTTATTTGTAATAAAATGGGGATGGAGCATTGCCTCCCAAGCTCAGTGACCGTGCCTTTAGCAAACATTCCCCGACAGCAGTGGCAATCAGTGACTGAGAGACAAATTCACAGACTGCACCCAAATGACAAAAGTTACGTTTAATTTACAATGTAATAAAGGTTACAGGTAAAAAGCTACACATAAAGCATGAAAAGGCCTATTACACAAATGTACAAATCTCTGTACAAAGCTTGTATCAATGTTTCCTAACTTTGTCTCCTATGTTTGTTAGCCAGGTCTAGTCTCAGAGCTCTCAATAACAAGAGCTCTCAATTGGGGGGGAAAGAGCCTCCAAACTGACATCTAAAAATTCCTCTTAGAGACACCAGTTACTTGCAAAAAAATCTTTTCCTTTTTATTTTGAATTACCCCAACCGGTTATATCCTTTGAAAATTGCCTTCATAATACACTTAAAAGTAATGCCTTAGAGTAGAGGACAGTACTCTGGAATTAAATAAGAAACTTCAGCAAGTGGAGTGCTCAGGTTTGACAAGAAAAACAGGTAGAGTTCAAACAATACTGTAAGTTAAAACTATAAACCTGTGTCTATGGCACCAGTTACAGAGGAAGGAAAATTGAACTGTTTTCACTCCAAAAGAGGAAGGACAAAAGAGAAAAGCCTAACTATTGGACCTCAAAACCACTGACCCAAGGAAACATTTTTTAGTTTAAACCTCAACTTAACTGCAGACTTCTAAGTCTTCTTTTTGATCAATTTGAGACCCATGGCAACCCTTCTGCTACCTGGGACTTGCAAAGGTAGTGAATATAAATGAGGCTGCTGGACCCCCAAGGCTGGTGATGCTACTGTAACCTCGACAGCTCTGGGTTCAACCTGAGGGCCTGGGATATGTGACTTTACATAAAAATGATCCTGGAAAGTGGGAGAAAGGAGGTAGTGGAAGGCATAGGAAAGAGCCAGGGCAGTCTATTGAAAAGGATATAAGGAGCCTTTCTTACACTGCGAGTGTTGTGAAGACAGGTCTTTATGGGCTATTTCAACCCCACCCCCAATTTTCATATTACATGGTTAGGATGCCAGGAGACATTCTGAAAGACGATACCGCACACATGGAAAGTTTTTCTCCCTAGTTCATTAGCTCCCCATCACCCTTCCACCCCATTCCCACCCAATCCCACCCCTCTCCATGACCAAAAATATCAAATCAGTAAGGAAGGTGTGGGCTTCTTGCCTGGCCAAGCCTCTTTTGCATACTTCTTCTTCTTGGGTTCATTTACAGCTTCAGGGTTATAGACTGCAGGGTTTGGTGCAGGGTTCATGTTCACTGCTGACGGCACAACAGGAGTCAAGTCCACATCAGGGGCAAGGTTTGGGTATGGCATGGGCAAGCCACCGATAAGTGCTGTCCCGTGGATGCCATGCGGCTGGGAGCCTGCTTCACTGTGTGTGGGGGGCAGGCCCCCGTAAAGTCCTCCACTGAAGGCAAAGTTCTGCATGCGCCTGCTCCCTGATTCCTCCAGGCCCAGGGAGCCTGGGCCCTCCACACGCTTCTTCTACAGTTCACGATGAGGAGAGGGGAGAGATTGGAGAGAGAAGACAAGCGGTGAGGCCCATGAGTGGTCAGCTTTTTCTATTCCAGCCTTAGAAAAATGGCTTTGGGAAAGGTTCCTAACTTCTAGCCTGTTCTCCTTTACGGACAACCTATTTCATGGTGTTAAAATCTTACGGTTTGAAGAGACCTTCCCAGTCATCTATGATGGTTCCCAACACTGCTCCATAACAAAGTTTTCACCATCCTATATCAGCCAAGAAGGATGGTACTGTGAGTTTTACATAAAGTAAAACATATCAATTTTAATGACTATTCTTTACCCTGAAGTCACATAGCTCACTTTCTTATTTTCATATTAAAATGACCTTTTAGGAGGAACACATGAGATCAGGAGTTCGAGACCAGCCTGGCCAACATGGAAAACCCCATCTCTACTAAAAATACAAAAATTAGCCAGGCGTGGTGGCAGGTTCCTGTCATCACAGCTACTCGGGAGGCTGAGGCACGAGAATCACTTGAGGCAGAGGTTGCAGTGACCTGAGATGGTGCCACTGCACTCCAGCCTGGGTGACAGAGTGAGACTGTCTCAAAAATAAAAAACATTAAAAAAAAAATCCCTTTTAGGAAATGGAAACAATAAAAGATGGCAATAGATATTTTTCCTTTTTTTGAGGGGGAAAAATTTGGTATCTTCATATTTGATGTCCAATTTTTTTTTCGAGACAAGAGTTTCACTCTTGTTGCCCAGGCTGGAGTGTAATGGTGCCATCTCAGCTCACAGCAACCTCCGCCTCCCGGGTTCAAGCCATTCTCCTGCCTCAGCCTCTGGAGTAGCTGGGATTACAGGCATGCGCCACCACGTCCGGCTAATTTTGTATTTTTAGTAGAGACGGGGTTTCTCCATGTTGGTCAGGCTGGTCTCAAACTCCCTACCTCAGGTGATCCGCCCGCCTCGGCCTCCCAAAGTGCTGGGATTACAGGCATGAGCCACCGCACCTGGCCTGGTGTCCAATTTTTTTTTTTTTTTTTTTTTTTTGAGACTGAGTCTGGCTCTGTCGCCCAGGCTGGAGTGCAGTGGCTGGATCTCAGCTCACTGCAAGCTCCGCCTCCCGGGTTTACGCCATTCTCCTGCCTCAGCCTCCCGAGTAGCTGGGACCACAGGCGCCCGCCACCTCGCCCGGCTAGTTTTTTTTTTGTATTTTTTAGTAGAGACGGGGTTTCACCGTGTTAGCCAGGATGGTCTCGATCTCCTGACCTTGTGATCCGCCCGTCTCGGCCTCCCAAAGTGCTGGGATTACAGGCTTGAGCCACCGCGCCCGGCCCTAGTGTCCAATTTTTAAACATTAATCTGAGAGCAAAACCAATCTACAGTGAAGAAAATATTTACTGGCTGCCTGGGCCTAGGAGTGGACTGCTGCAAAGGGCCACGAGGCAACTTTTTGGAGTGAGGAAAATCTCTATCTTAATTATGGTGGCGGTTACACATGTATTTGCCAAAACTATACACTTAAATGTGTAGACTTTATTATATGTAAATTGTACTGCAATAAAATTGACATAAAACTATGTACCTGATGATTTTATACTTTAATGACAAGAAAATATTCCAAAGGAATAAAAACAACAACAAAAAGAGCTCAAGGGGCATTATGGAGTTCCACAGAAAAACATCTTCTACTTTTCCACACTAGACTAAAGCTCATGAAACATCCTCCTCACTCCTATACTCCTTCTGGATTAAACAAAGTCTAAGCAGGAACTCTGACAGATCTTATTTAGTCTAGTATATTCTACAGAATTTTTTTTTTTTTTTTATAAAAAGTAAAACAATTTCTATATCATCTCTAACCAGCATCTTCTAATCACCTTCTTAATATTAACAGGGATCTCACTACTCTAAGGGGAAGTGTGTTGCCGTTTGGATTGTTCTGCTATTCGGTAGTTCTTCCACATGTTGAACGATCTAACTTCTACCTCTTGGTAGATCTTAGAAGATCTCTGTAACTTCTTAGAAGTTACTCTTAGAAGTAACTCTTAGAAGATCTCCGTAACTTCTACCTCTTGGTTCTTCAACATACTTGATCTTTAAACTTAATCCACATCTGGGCTGACATTCCTATCTGTGCCATTGCCACTCATAAAATAAAGGCATGACAAACCGTGTGGTATTGCAATAATGCATCTCCTCTACCTAACAGTTTACTTTTAGGGCCAAAGAGAAAGGACAAAAGAAGGTGGGCTTCTCTCTGCACCCCTCTGGAAAATGAATTTACAGATTCACATTGCACATGATTTACATGAAACATCAAGCTGGCTAGTTACCTACAGCCTTTCTGTGGTACTCCAGGATTCCCTAAACATAGATTTCATTTCCACAGAATGAGAAATGGGAGAGGAGTATGGTATGTATTTTAAAATTAAGCACTCACTCAATAGCACATAAAGAGCAGGTTATTTTTTTTTTTGAGACAGAGTCTCCCTCGGTTGCCAGGGTGGAGTGCAGTGGAGTGCAGTGGCGCGATCTCAGTTCACTGCAACTTCTGCCTCCCACGTTCCAGCTATTCTCCCGCCTCAACCTCTCAAGTAGCTGAGACTACAGGAACGTGCCACCACACCCAGCTAATTTTTGTATTTTTAGTAGAGACAGGGTTTCACCATGTTGGCCAGGCTGGTCTCGACCTCCTGACCTCAGGTGATCCGCCTGCCTTGGCCTCCCAAAGTGCTGGGATTACAAGTGTGAGCCACTGTGCCCAGCCTCTATCTCTTGACTTCTTGATCTGCCCGCCTCGGCCTCCCAAAGTGCTCGGATTACAGGCATGAGCCAACGCGCCTGGCCTAAAGAACAGGTTTTTAAACACAGACTGTATGGCATTTCATGTGCTTCCTACCTTGACTGGGACCACTGCAGTTTGCACCATGTTCCTGAATCGACCAACTGAGGGATCCACATCCTCTGCAAAAAGAGAAGAGGGCAGGGTTGGGTTGGTACTTTACTGGGAGGAATAAGAGCACAGGGGTCACTGCAAACAAACCACCACAACAACTCATGTTAAAATTGTAAAACAGAGAGATTTAGCTGGGCATTGTGCTAAATCCTCACAAAGACCCTGTGACGTAGGTACTACCACAATCAACATTCAGTAGACGAGAAAGCAAACTGAGGCTTGGAGGAGTAAAGTGACTGGCCCAGTTGCTCTGGTGGAGAGGACAGGAGCCAGGACTTGAGTCCAAGTACTTCGAATCAGGCCTGTGATCTACATCACTGTGCTGTGCTGCCTTCCCCCAAGTTCTTTCCCATTCTTTATACTTCCCTCTTTTGAGGGGAAAGAAAAAAAGAGTAGACATTATCAGTTCCGTATCAGTGACAAAACAATGACATGTCAAGAGGTTACATATCAAATGCCTTGCTAATGCCTGCTTATTAGCAAAAAAAAAAAAAAAGATTTTGGATTCAAAGCCAGGGCTTCAAACTGAACCTGGCCTTTTGACTTGAATGGCCTGAACTGCATATAAGCAAGACTTACACTAAAGGCTCCGATACCCCCGTCTACACAGGAAATAAAGAGCAAGATGCTGTCCCATCTTTGATGAACTCACAGTTACAGAGCCAGATAGGCTACAACACACAAAGGTGCTTCAAGAGAAGTACACAACAGTGTTTCTGGAGCAGAGGGGATGACTAGGCTGGATCGCCAAGGATGGTGGAGTTTTCTCACTGAAGGGTGAATGTGTGGAAACAGGCAGAGGCACCAACTTATGTACCACTACTACAGAAAACTACTCCAAGCCCCAGTTAACTTAATATAGCGATAGAGAAGGAATCGCTTCCCTAATAGGTATTGTAACCTTATTTTCTATGAGGTTGCTTGTTACTGAAAGAAACACTCCCAGCCAGGCACGGTGGCTCACGCCTGTAATCCCAGCACTTTGGGAGGCTGAGGCGGGCGGATCACAAAGTCAGGAGATCAAGACCATCCTGGCTAACACGGTGAAACCCCCGTCTCTACTAAAAATACAAAAAATTGGCCGGGCGCGGTGGCTCAAGCCTGTAATCCCAGCACTTTGGGAGGCCGAGACGGGCGGATCACGAGGTCGGGAGATCGAGACCATCCTGGCTAACACGGTGAAACCCCGTCTCTACTAAAAAAATACAAAAAACTAGCCGGGCGAGGTGGCGGGCGCCTGTAGCCCCAGCTACTCGGGAGGCTGAGGCAGGAGAATGGCGTGAACCCGGGAGGCGGAGCTTGCAGTGAGCTGAGATCCAGCCACTGCACTCCAGCCTGTGCGACAGAGCGAGACTCCGTCTCAAAAAAAAAAAAAAAAAATACAAAAAATTAGCTGGGCACGGTGGCGGGTGCCTGTAGTCCCAGTTACTTGGGAGGCTGAGGCAGGAGAATGGCATGAACCCAGGAGGTGGAGCTTGCAGTGAGCTGAGATCACACCACCGCACTCCAGCCTGGGCGACAGAGCAAGACTCCGTCTCAAAAAAAAAAAAAAAAGAAAGAGACAACGTCTCTAAAAAGGTATCCCAATCTTCTCTCATGGCCCCTCTGGTTTCAGAGCCTGTGCTCTTAACCACTATGCTACATTGACTGAACACAATTCCCTAAGAAAGCTTGAGGGCACTAATTTTCAATGAGAAAAACAGCAGATCAGATCCTCACTCCTGAAAGAGACTTAAGAAATTTGTCTAGTCCAGTGGTTCCCAAATTGCTGGCTGTTGTACAAACAGGAGCTCATTAAAAAGTATAAATTTTGGGCTGGGCATGGTGGCTCACGCCTGTAATCCTAGTACTTTGGGAGGTCCAGGGCAGATCACTTGAGGTCAGGAGTTCAAAACCAGCCTGGCCAACATGGTGAAACCCTGTCTCTACTAAAAATACAAAAAAATTAGCCAGGCGTGGTGGCAGGCGCCTATAATCCCAGCTACTTGGGAGGCTGATGCAGAAGAATCGCTTGAACCCAGGAGGCGGAGGTTGCAGTGAGCCGAGGTTGCGCCACTGCACTCCAGCCTAGGTGACAGAATGAGACTCCGTCTCGAAAAATAAATACCTAAAAATAAAAAATAAAAATTTCAACCAGGCACGGGGGCTCATGCCTATAATCACAGTACTTTGGGAGACTGAAGCAGGAGGATCACTTAAGCTCAGGAGTTCAAGACCAGCCAGGGCAACATGATGAAACCCCATTTCTACAAAACATATCACAATTAGCTGAGCGTGGTGGCATGCACCTGTTGTCCCAGATACTCAGGAGGTTGAGGTGGGAGGATCACCTGTGCCTGGGTGGTCAAGGCTGTAGTGAGCCATGACTGTGCCACTGCACTCTAGCCTGGGCGACAAAATGAGATCTTGTCTCTTACACACACACCAAAGAAAAACTAAAAAATACATACATTTCTAGGTCCAACCCTGGAAACTCTTTTTTGGAGACAGCCTCACTCTGTCACCCAGGTGGGAGTGCAGTGGCACGATCTTGGCTCATTGCAAGCTCTGCCTCCCAGGTTCAAGCGATTTTCCCACCTCAGCTTCCCGAGTAGCTTAGACTACAGGTATGTGCCATCATGCCTGGCTGATTTTCGTATTTTTGTAGAGACAGGGTTCTGCCACGTTGGCCACCCTGGTCTCGAAATCCTGGCCTCAAGCAATTCACCAACTTCAGCCTCCCAAAGTGCTGGGATTATAGGCGTGAACCACTACGCCTGACCAACCACAGCTTTTTCTTTTTCTTTTTGTCACCTAGGCTGGAGTGCAATGGTGCAATCCCAGCTCACTGCAGCTTCTGCCTCCTGGGTTCAAGCAATTCTCTTGCCTTAACCTCCCAAGTAGCTGGGACTACAGGCGAGCACCACCAAGCCCAGCTAATTTTTGTATTTTTTTAAGTAGAGATGGGGTTTCACCTTGTTGGCCAGGCTAGTCTTGAACTCCTGGCCTTAAGTGATCCACCCTCCTCGGCATCCCAAAGTGCTGGGATTACAGGCATGAGCTACTGCGCCCGGGCCAACCATAGCTTTTTCATCAGAATAAACTAGGAAGATACCTCACCTGGATTGATGATCTCATCATCCTCACTGAATGTCACCCGCGAGTTCTTCCTCTTCCTCTTTGGTCTTTGAATGTCCAGATTTCCCTCCTCAATGGTAAGGGTAGAAATCCGCTTGTTGTGGGCAGTGTTGAACTCTGTCAGGTTCTAAGCCAGGGTTCATACAGGAAAGACAGCAGTCAGTACAAAGGGAATCTGATGGAGAAAATCATACTAAATAAAGGTCAGGAAGACGTGAGGGGCTAATCTTGACCTCCAAAGGGAGTTGAGACTCTTCTGCATTTAGAGAAGATTATACTGTCCTGAGACTACTAATACTAACAAGTCTCAAGTCTCATTAGAAAGAATGTGGGACATCCTCATTGACTAGTGGGGCAGTGATATTCAAAAGAAGGTAAAGGGCCTTGAGCTGAGAACAGGTCATCTGTGCAAATACCCTTGAGTTGTGTTTTGTTGCTGTTGTTGAAGAAAGGCTATCATGTCTTCATGCCCACAAGCAGCTGAGAATTAAAAGGAAATGTGGCTGGGAGGAACGCCAAGAATTGTTTTTAAGTAACAAAATTGAGATGAAAAAGGACAATTGGCTGTTTCTTTTCTAGTAGCTTTCTCCTTTAAAATTAAGGACACTGCTAGTGCACTTAATTTTTGGCGTTAATATTTTGTCATTCCCCATCCTGTGTCTGGCCCCAGTTCTATAAATAACTATCTCAATAATTAACTTGACCTTAGCTCTGTTGCTTGCCTCTTCCCAATCCACTGAAATTATTCCTTTCTGGTACAAACCACCAGTTTGAGATATTCTAAATGTCTTAAGAATGAAGATCCAGGGAGTACCTAACATACTGAACTAAAAGCCATGGAAGCACAGCAGCAGCCTGGATAGAGGCGGCCTCAAGGGGAAATGGGCAACAGTGACTGCCAGCAAGGTCCCTGGCTATGAAGCCACTTCTTCAAAACAAAACGACTTCTTTTTTTTTTTTTTTTTTTTTTGAGAGGGAGTCTGGCTCTGTCGCCCAGGCTGGAGTGCAGTGGCCGGATCTCAGCTCACTGCAAGCTCCGCCTCCCGGGTTTACGCCATTCTCCTGCCTCAGCCTCCCGAGTAGCTGGGGCTACAGGCGCCCGCCACCTCGCCCGGCTAGTTTTTTTTTTGTATTTTTTAGTAGAGATGGGGTTTCACCGTGTTAGCCAGGATGGTCTTGATCTCCTGACCTCGTGATCCGCCCGTCTCGGCCTCCCAAAGTGCTGGGATTACAGGCTTGAGCCACCGCGCCCGGCCCAAAACGACTTCTTAATTGTACAATTTCTTTTCTTTTTTTTGGAGATGGAGTATCACTCTTGTTGCCCAGGCTGGAATGCAATGGCGCAATCTTGGCTCACCACAACCTCCACCTCCTGGGTTCAAGCGATTCTCCTCCTCAGCCTCCTGAGTAGCTGGGATTACAGGCATGCGCCACCACACCCAGTTACTTTTTTGTATTTTTAGTGGAGACAGGGTTTCTCCATGTCACTCAGGCTGGTCTCGAACTCCTGACCTCAGGTGATCCGCCCACCTCAGCCTCCCAAAGTGCTGGGATTATAGGCGTGAGCCACTGTGCCCGGCCTAAACTGTAGAATTTCTATTGTGCTTTTCTTCCTAAGAGCTAGGAAACTGCCTTGGTGTACAGGAATAGTAAATGCAGGTCGGTGGTTAAGGACATGATTGCATTTGGTCTATCTGAACAGACCAATCACACCAGTGCAGTGACAGACATGTAAAGGACTATAGCCACACCAAACTACTGGGGTCAGCCTCAAAAAAGGAAAACTTCCACCACCTTAAAATTAAATCTTATAAAATTCATGGCCCTCAGGACAGCGAGGCCCATAAGAACAAAAGCAGTCTGGTTCTATTCAGAAGATTCCTGAGCTGTTCAGATAGCACCAAAAAAAGCTATATAAATGAATGAAAGTGTCAGTCTCTCCAAGCCAGTGCTGTCTGACAGAACTTTTTGTGAGGATGAAAACATTCTCTCTTTACACTACGCAACACGGCAGCCACTAGCCTTATGTGACTACATAATACTTGAAATATTGTTAGTGGCTACCACCTTGGTCGGCATTAGCTCTAAGCAGTCAAGGGACAGAGAAATGTAGCTTCTAGTCTTAGCTTGTAACAGCCAGTGAAAGTGCACAAAACAGCTCAAGAGGTCTAGTGGCTGTGACCCAGCCTCCTTGTTAGGCCTGGTGATACACAACCAAATCCATACAATGTGGCTCTCTGAGAGGTGTCACACCTGGCCACATCAGATTGCCAAAGGCCCATTACTGGACTCAAGAGAACCCCTGCTGCTAAGTCAATGGCATTTCCAGCTACAGAGAACAGCTATATACTCCAAAAACCAGGGTCCCCAAAGACAAAACAATGACATAAACAGGGAATTACATCAAGCTCAGTTTCCTCCTCTGGAAGCCCCAGTAAGCCCTTGAGTTCATCATCCTCTCCACCCATCTTCTCATCTCCTTTCACAGCCGATGGCAATGTCTGAGGCTTCTCGCGCAGAGTGTATGCCCTTGTGGATGCGCCAAATGAGACCGTGGAATCGATGGGAATTTGCTGAGGCTTGTGAGGTTCCAACCGAATGTGACCCAAGAAAGTGCCGTGTGCTGGGAACAACCAAATCAGAAACGTAAGGGGGAAAACAAAAACAACCCGAGTTTTAGAAGGGAGAGTATGATTGCCAACTCTCTTATGAGGTCAGCTTCCCCCCAGCACATCAGTTTTGCCTTTTTGTCTGTTTTTAATTTATTTTAAAAATGCCATAGTCAGGATCGTGGTCAGAAAACTCCAGCTTTTTAAAAAACGAAAATGGCACCGGGTCCACCACATCCATCATGTGTTACAGTGAGAAGGAAACTCCTTCACTGAGCCTTGAATCTCCTCAGTGGGTTTCTTATATCCTCAGACCTGTTGTTCCCCCAAATAACAAATACCACTGCCCGTTCTCTGCTGCCACACAGGCTTGGCTCCATTCTAGGTCAAACAAGAATGGCTCCAACCCAGCAGAAGCCATGCCTCCCAAAGCAGGAGCTGGGCTTCACTGTAGTTTTCCCTCTCCAGCCCCAAGTCAAAGGAATAGAGAAACTGCTGGCCTGGTGGCAGTTATGCTTAGGTTTTCCCCAGGACAAGAAAGAGCTTGGCTGAAACAGGTGCAATATCAATGCCAAAGAAAGCCAAAATCCTACTATAGATTCTGAATATTTTCCCCTGTTGGCATTCTGCATGTTATAAAATGGGAGAGAAAAGATAAGTATTTGCGAGACAAAGCTCTCCAAGACCGTTACGCAAGCAGATGAGGGTGATGTGCGAGTGTATGTTTGTGTGTGGTAGTAGGAGAGTGGTGGAATCCAACATGATATTCCCAGGAAGCAGGACCCTTTACATTTTACACTGTACTCACACATGGGCAAAATGAACAAATTTCAGGGCCCCATGCAGTTAAAGCTCAATTGCATTTCTGTGGATTATCTACGCAAAGTTTAAACTCTTATTAATTGGTGTATGCTTATGGATACTCCAATTAATTAATACTTATGGATTTTTTTTTTTTTTTTTTTTTTTTTTGAGACGGAGTCTCGCTCTGTCGCCCAGGTTGGAGTGCAGTGGCCGGATCTCAGCTCACTGCAAGCTCCACCTCCCAGGTTTACGCCATTCTCCTGCCTCAGCCTCCTGAGTAGCTGGGACTACAGGCGCCCGCCACCTCGCCCGGCTAGTTTTTTGTATTTTTAGTAGAGACGGGGTTTCACCGTGTTAGCCAGGATGGTCTCGATCTCCTGACCTCGTGATCCGCCCGTCTCGGCCTCCCAAAGTGCTGGGATTACAGGCTTGAGGATTATTTTTATTTTTTGAGGCAGGGCTTACTCTGTCACCCAGACTGGAGTATAGTCGTGCTTCAATGGCTCACTGCAACCTCCACCTCCTGGGCTCAAACAATCCTCCCACTTAAGCCTCCCAAGCAGCTGGGACCATAAGTGCACTCCACAATACAGGGCTAATTTTTTGTATTTTTTGTAGAGACGGGGGTCTCGTTACATTGCTCATGCTGGTCTTGAACTCCTGGGCTTGAGAGATTCACTGACATCAGCCTCCCAAAGTGCTGGGATTACAGGTGTGAGTCACCATGCCTGGCCTTGCTTATGGAATTAAAACTGGTATTATTCACAGTCAAAACAAAACAGAGATGGAATAAAGAACCAGAATAATGAAATTTTCCTCAAGATAAGCATTCTTAAAATGCCCTATATTGCTGCTCTATTACATTAATGGAGCTAATCATAGCTTCTACTTAAACGGAATCACAATTTATTATGGTTCTATAAACACTTGAACATGCATGGTCGATAGTGCCTGGGTGCCTTTTTCCTTTTCTTTTTTTTTTTTTTTTGAGACAGAATCTTGCTGTGTTGCCCAGGTCAGAGTGCAGTGGTGCGATCTCGGCTCATTGAAACCTTCACCCCCTGGGTTCAAGCGATTCTCCTGCTTCAGCCTCCTGAGAAGCTGGAATTACAGGCACCCGCCACCACCCCCAGCTAATTTTTGTATTTTTGGTAGAGGTGAGGTTTCACCATATTGGCCAGGCTGGTCTCAAACTCCTGGCCTTAGGTGATCCGCCCACCTCGGCCTCCCAAAGTGCTGGGATTATAGGAGTGAGCCACTGCATCCAGCTCTTTTTTGTTTGTTTGTTTGTTTTTTGAGAGAGTCTTGCTCTGTCACCCAGGCTGGAGTGCAGTGGCACGATCTCGGCTCACTGCAAGCTCTGCCTCCCGGGTTCACACCATTCTCCTGACTCAGCCTCCCGAGCAGCTGGGACTACAGGCACCCGCCACCAAGCCCAGCTAATTTTTTTGTATTTTTAGTAGAGACGGGGTTTCACCGTGTTAGCCAGGATGGTTTCGATCTCCTGACCTCGTGATCCGCCCACCTCGGCCTCCCAAAGTGCTAGGATTACAGGCGTGAGCCACCGCGCCTGGCCTGTTTCTTTGTTTTTAAGAGATGGGGTCTTGTTCTGTCACCCGGACTGGAGTGCAGTGGTGTGATCACAGCTCACTGCAGTCTTGAACTCCTGGGCTCTAGTGATCCTCCCGCCTCAGCTTTCTGAGTAGCTACAGGTGTGCGCCCCCACACCCAGCTCATATTTGCTTATTGATGCCCCCAGGACAGTTCCCCAAACCCCTCTTCTCTCCACAGTCAGTTATCAATTATCTCAGGAAAACAGAAAAATCACAGAAATAGAGAAGGGTGGATTTAAAAACCAAATATTAACTTTTTCCATAAAACATAATTTCCAAACTAAAGAACCCAAAGAGCATGTTCATATTGCCCAAATATAACATGTGAATTGGGAGGGAGTTACTTACTACTGTTGAGATCTATCAGGAAAACTCTCTTCAGATGCTTGTGGTAGACAAGTGCAGCATGGACCCGAGAGCAAGACTGGTGGTCAATGGTAAAGTCACACAAATCAGGGTTTCTCCCAAATAAGTAATACTTCTTCTCATCAATAATCAGTTTCTAAATAAATATTAAATTAAATATTACTTAAATCTTGTTTCAACAGCATTTACCAAAAACTCTTCCAATCAAATAGAAAATCTTGATAAAATTCCTTTCCATTAGATTGATTTGAGTAATAACTCCATTTCCTTGTATCAAAAAAAGGAAAATCCATTCCAAGAAGAAAAAAATATCTCCCGTTATTCTTCAACATAAAGCACTCAGAATAATTTACTAAAATAACATTTTTTTGGAGAATGGATGGCAACGGATGGTAATTCATCTCCTCAATATAGTGTTTAATTGTCTAGTGTTGGTATGAAAATAACTTCTCTTTCTCTTTTTTGTTTCTGAGATGGAGTCTCGCTCTGTTGCCCAGGCTGGAGTGCAGTCGCACGATCTCGGCTCACTGCAACCTCTGCTTCCTGGGTTCAAACAATTTTCCTGCCTTAGCCTCCCAAGTAGCTGGGACTACAGGCGTGCACCACCAAGTTCAGCTAATTTTTTTTTTTTTGAGACAGAGTCCCACCCTGTCACCCAGGCTGGAGTACAATGGTGTAATCTCGGCTCACTGCAACCTCCACCTTCTGGGTTCAAGCAATTCTCCTGCCTTAGCCTCCCAAGCAGCTGGGATTACAGGTGCATGACACCATGCTCGGCTAATTTTCTGTATTTTTAGTAGAGATGGGGGTTTTACCATGTTGGCCAGGCTGGTCTCGAACTCCTGACCTTATGATCTGCCCATCTCGGCCTCCCAAAGGGCTGGGATTACAGGCGTGAGCCACCGAGCCCGGCCTAATTTTTGTATTTTTAGTAGAGACGGGGTTTCATCATACTGGCCAGGTTGGTCTTGAACTCCTGACCTCGTGATCTGCCCACCTCAGCCTCCTAAAGTGCTGGGATTACAGGTGTAAGCCACCGTGGTCGGCCAACTTTATTTTTTTTGAGACAAAATCTCGCTCTGTCGCCCAGTCTGGAGTGCAATGGCGTGACCTTGGCTCACTGCAACCTCTGCCTCCCAGGTTTAGGCGATTCTCCTGCCTCCCGAGTAGCTGGGACTACAGGCACGTACCACCACGCCTAGCTAATTTTTTGTATTTTTAGTAAAGACAGGGTTTCATTGTGTTAGCCAGAATGGTACTGATCTCCTGACCTCATGATCCGCCCGCCTCAGCCTCCCAAAGTGCTGGGATTACAGGGGTGAGCCACCGCGCCCGGCCTGAGATCAACAATTGAATTGTGCCTGGCCTGAGATCGACAATTGAATTACGAGTGGCTGGCTTCTGAAAAAAGGTTCTGTTGGATCTTAATTTTAGATCAATTAGGAAACAAGAAGCACAATGCATGTCTATAAAGGAACAAGATTGCTTTCAGCCTAGTGAAACTGAAAAAAATGTAGTAAGATTGCTTCTCAGAAAATATTCAAATGTGTATTTGGGAAAGGAATGAAGAAGCGTAAACACCTATTTCTATTCTAATCATGCTGCTATAGCCCCAAAGTATTTTTGTTTGTTTTTGAGACAGTCTTATTCTGTCATCCAAGCTGGAGTGCACTGGTGCAATCTCAGCTCACTGCAGCCTCCACCTCCCAGGTTCAAGCGTTTCTCCTACCTCAGCCTCCTGAGTAGCTGAGATTAATGGCGCCCACCACCACACCCGACTAATTTTTGCATTTTTAGTAGAGATGGGGTTTCACCATGTGAAACCAGGCTGGTCTCGAACTCCTGACCTCAGGTGAACTGACAGCCTCAACCTCCCAAAGTGCTGGGATTACAGGTGTTAGCCACTGTGCTACACCTGAGCTGAATTTAGCTTTATAAAAAACTTGCTGGCCAGGCGCAGTGGCTCATGTCTGCAATCCCAGCACTTTGGGAGGCTGAGGCGGGCGGATCACGAGGTCAGGAGATCAAAACCATCCTGGCCAACATGGTGAAACCCCGTCTCTACTAAAAATACAAAAAAAAAAAAAATTAGGCGTGGTGGCAGGTGCCTGTAGTCCCAGCTACTCGGGAGGCTGAGGCAGGAGAATGGCATGAGCCCGGGAGGCGGAGCTTGCAGAGAGTCAAGATCTGCACTCCAGCCTGGGCGACAGAGCGAGACCCTGTCTCACAAACAAAAACAAGCAAACAAAAAAATAAAAATAAAAAACTTGCTATACCTGTCCTTATATTTCTTTTAATCCTGGATCTGTAAAGCCTTTGCCACAGATCGGTTATAAACTGGACTGTTATAGATGAAGGACTCTAGATGAATTATTGCTAACGCTTCTTCCACTGCTAGTGGTCTAGTAATCTAGTGTGAGCACTTGAGGAATAACTGTCATTTGAGTATGCTGTGTTTTTCCTTTAAATATGAGGTCTCATTAAACTCTAGTTCACATTTCACACTATACTCCTAAAATTCCTGAGAAAATATAGCACAAAGCTAAGTAGAGTACAGTCAAGTTAGTACCAGGCTGGGAATCAAGAAGCTTGTATTTCATTCCTGGCTAAGTCCTTTAACTCACAATGGGCTACTATTCTCGCCTTATAAAACCAAAAGATACACCTCATGCAAGCACACTTTCAACACTGATTATAGTAACAACTGCTAGGCACTTCTATGCCACACACTATGCTATGAGTTTGATGTTATATCATTTCATCCTCACAACCACCCTATGAGGTGGGTAACACTATTCTCTTCCTATTTATATAAATGACAAAATTGAAGCATAAAGAAATTAACATACTCAAGTTCACACAGTTAGATACTTGTGGGCTGGGTTAGAAATTCAGATTTGTCTGGCTTCAGAGTCTAAGCTGTTTTAACCACTACATTATATATTTTCTTCATTCTGCTTACATCAAAAAATGCACCATATGGCAAGGAGTATTTTAAGAAGAGAATAAGTACTGTGGGTCACACTCTTTCCTTAAACAATCACTTAGCCAGTTTCTTTCAAGTTCAGCCTTAAGGTTCAATTAATTCAGGCTAGCTTGGATATGTGGGTCACCTCTGGGAAACCCTATCTAACAGTGCCCATCTGCTGCTGGAAGAGCTTGTTCTGGGCCCATACTACTATGGGGAACCAAGATTTAACAACAGCCTGACAGGAGATCAGTCAGTCCCCTTCATCTCTGCTTTGACCCAAGGTTTTTAAGACTTGAGTTAAAAATAAGACATTATTTCAGGATTAAGAGAGAGCCCAGAAATTTCAACAACTTGTTCTAATAGCTATTCGAGCTGAATCTCATTGCACTTCTCATTCATATTTATATGCACATGGATTATGCTGTCACAAACTTAAATTTGCTAACCACAGTGCTCACAGATTGGGCTGAAGGAACATGAAAGACCACCAGCTCTTGGGCTCTAAAATAACAATGACTAAATTTCTATGAATCTAGGGTGCCAACAGACATACTATAGATTTAGGGATTTGAGAGGAAAAAAGAGAGGGCCTCCAAATTAAATGTACACATTCAGTATTAAAGGCATCCCAATTTTTTTTTTTTTTTTTTTTTTTTTGGAGACCGAGTCTGGCTCTGTGGCCCAGGCTGGAGTGCAGTGGTGCAATCTCAGCTCACTGCAAGCTCCGCCTCCCGGGTTCACGCCATTCTCCTGCCTCAGCCTCCTGAGTAGCTGGGACTACAGGCGCCTGCCACCATGCCCGGCTAATTTTTTGTATTTTTAGTAGAGATGGGGTTTCACCTTGTTAGCTAGGATGGTCTTGATCTCCTGACCTCATGATCCGCCCGTCTCGGCCTCCCAAAGTGCTGGGATTACAGGCTTGAGCCACCGCGCCCGGCTGGCATCCCAATTACAGAAATGTTAAAATGAATTTTTTTTTTTTTTCCTGAGATGGAGTCTTGCTTTGTCGCCCAGGCTCAAGGCAGTGGTGCAATCTCCATTCACTGCAACCTCTGCCTCCTGGGTTCAAGTGATTCTCCTGCCTCAGCCTCCCAAGTAGCTGGTATTACAGGTGCGTGCCACTGCACCTGGCTAATTTTTTAATTTTTAGTAGAGACGGGGTTTTGCCATGCTGGCCAGGCTGGTCTTGAACTCCTGACCTCAGGTGATCTGCCCGCCTCGGCCTCCCAAAGTGCCGGGAGGCCAGGCGTGAGCCGCCACTGAGCCTGGCCAAAATGAACGGAATTTTAACAGAAAACCGTATGTCTCAGAACCAAGGAAATGTGTCAGATGTTGAACAATGTGCTGCTTCTGTCCAAGTGACTGAAATAATGCACTGGCTTTCAACAGTCACTAAAGCCATAGCTTCTTGACTAGCTATGGCCAGTACCACTATCCAGTTGTGCCTCTGAGTTATAACTCAGAGTGTATCTTTACACACTGGGCTTAAAAGACTCATGGCTTTTGTTTTAATGTTGCACTTCTTAAACCCAGCTATCACAACACATCACAAGCCTTTGATACAAAGCTAGGATATAGATAGCTAGGTTAGTATCAAGTGCTGATTAAGTTTAAATCTAAAAATAAGCACATCTCAGGTCTACACCTCTCAAGAATACAGTGATGTCTGAGGATTTTAACTTGACAAGTTTGTGGCAACTCAGCACACTTAACAACACCGAAAGAGAACATTATCAGCTAATAGAAACCAATGATCAGGGGAGTGTCTAGCAAGTTAGAGTGTTTTGAAAATATAATACCAATTATTCCACAAAGGAATGTGATGTTATCATTAAGACTAGGCAACCCTGTCTGTTTCTTCCTGTTGCAAACTAAAGATTTGCTAAATTCGGCCGGGCGCGGTGGCTCAAGCCTGTAATCCCAGCACTTTGGGAGGCCGAGGCGGGTGGATCACGAGGTCAGGAGATCGAGACCATCCTGGCTAACATGATGAAACCCCGTCTCTACTAAAAATACAAAAAACTAGCCGGGCGTGGTGGCGGGCGCCTGTAGTCCCAGCTACTCGGAGGCTGAGGCGGGAGAATGGCGTGAACCCGGGAGGTGGAGCTTGCAGTGAGCCGATATCGCGCCACTGCACTCCAGCCTGGGTGACAGAGCGAGACTCTGTCTCAAAAAAAAAAAAAAAAAAAAAAAAAAGATTTGCTAAATTCTAGTAATAAAACAAATCTCTATATGTCTTCAAGCTTTGTGCTATTTAGCAACAAATATTTTGTAACTGTGGAACAATCTGTAGTAAAAAAAAGTTTTACAGATATTTTAGCTAAATTATTTCTTTGAATAATCTTGAAGTTTTAAATCTTTAAGATTGAAGAACCCATGATAAAGCGGCTCTCTGTGACTGGCTGAGTCCATGATGTATTCATAACAGGAGAAATCATTAAAACTCATGCATGCCTTAATACTTTGCAAAATACCTGGACATCTCTACAAAATCCCAAAAGTGACAAAAATATATTTACAGAGTAACCTTCAAAAGATCTCAGATAGCTTTTCAATCTAGCAACCATGGAACTGCAACATTTTTATTAAATACCAAAAAACCACAAGGAAAAAACTGCATTCAATAATGGGGCCTTGAACCTAAATTCTAGCTGAGCAAGCAAATATAAAATTGGTCTAATACAGGGAGACTCACAGCTACATGGTCATGGTGGGCTTAATATCCATCTCTTGGTAAATAAATAATACCATAAGGATTATAAAAAATTTACGTAAACTAATAGCTAATAAAAACTCATGTTCTCTTGAACTCCTATGTGGTGTTCTCTCTAGAGGCTTGTATAAAAGCTGGAATTCTGCTAAACTTTTATAGTACTTAATTCAAATATAACTATGTAATTTTTTGGTGTGATTCTGTCTCTTCCACTGGACGACTTGAGGAGAGAAATCATGTTGGTTTCCCTTACTGCTGCAATCTGTAAGCCAAGCACTGTAACTGGCACATAGTAAACACTCAATACATGTTTTCAAAGAATCAATTAATGAATTTCACCACAATTCCATTATCTTTTTGAGTAAGTGTCGTCTTAGTTTACCATATTTCTTATAAGGAGTTGGGCCTGAATCTCTTAAAATTAACTTAAAAGTTAAACTCAACATATATCATTCACTTTCTTCAGTTACTGCATACCTTGCACGGTTTACACAACTCCATGTACTCAGGGAGAGGGAATTAACCAAGCTAACAGGGCTTCCAGTTTGACTGGGGCCCACAGGACCCATGACCTATTAAAACCATTCATTTGAGAGAAGTCACAAAAAAGTGAGTGTCTGTGGTAGATACAAGCTTTAAGTGTGTGATGTCACCATGTGCTTTTAACAGAAAAAAAAATCAGGATGAAAGAAAGTAGCATTGCTGGAAAACAAAGCACAGGAGAGGGGGTGGAAAAGTGAGTCACTGGCAAAAATCTTTAGTGTGGTGGGCAAAAAAGGAAGACATGTATTTCCATACCTCAATTAGTTTGTCTCCTTTGACTACATCCAGATGTAAACCGGGAGGGGGCTTACCTGCCCTGAAAAATAAAAATAGAAAAAAGCATTTTCACGATGAGTTTATAAATGCAATTTACAATCACTGTCCCATTCAACATTGCAGCTCTCCTACCAGCCAGCCTATAATTAGTTCATGTTCAAGCAGAAATGTCATCCACTTCACTGTTATTACAGCTCCATTCTACGTTTGACACTTACTTCCCTAGTGATTCAACTGCTCTGAAACAGATTTTAGTGGATCTGTATTTAGAGCAGCACCAAGAAACCTATATTTTAACACTGGATCTTCACCTCAGAGAAAGAGCTGCATAGAGAGTGTAAGTACGATAGCTGGAGTGGTCTGGTCACCTGGAGTTTGAATCTGAAATTTACCCCTACTCCAATATCATATAAAGATCGAATAAATTAGTTGCTGTTTGGGGCTGATCAAGATTAGTCTCATCACAGAGTAAGCAGAGTACTGTCCTGAGCTCTGAGACCAAATCAGAGGTGCATAATTAGGGAACTAGGGCAATTCAAAATCATGCCCCATGAAACCAGGTACCAAATGAATATGTTACCCTTGAACAGGTCTTTCTACAACAGCATGATTAAGGGAAGTTTCCTCTATACTACTACAGCCATATCATTCAAGGGAGACTCACATATGTCAAAGCACCTAACAGTGCCTGGTACCTACCAGACCCTAAGGAAAGGGTAAGTGATCTCAAAGCAGTGCTTTCTAACTACGTTTGCTGTATTGGTCCAAGTTTGAAATCAATACAGCGAGGGATCAAAACGGATATAGAATTTGTAGACTGAAGCAACCATTACAAAAGTGCAAAGCGATCCAGAAAATAGCCACACATTTGCTTGCTTTTTGGGTTTGCTAATTTGAAGTTAGAAAAAAGAACCACCTCACTAGAACCTCTAGATTTGCACACGAAAAAAACGTATCCTTGTCTAGCTAACTGAAGATGCAACACAGTCATCTCAAACAATCCTGCCCCAACCCCTCCTCTATGGAAAGGACAGTGCACCGGACAAAAGGCCATTTTGTCCACGAAAAAGGAGGAATGTTACATCCAAAATATACTTTCTGTATGTGCCTGACTCAGGCCTTGGAGCTGGGAATACAAAGATGCAGTCTTTGCCCTTGAGGATGGCAATATAACGGGAGACAGAGACAAGTAACAAACAATACACTGCGATGAGCTACAGCAGAAAAAAACTCTTAATTTCAGAAGCGTTTCCTTGTAAGGTAATTCATATTTATTCAACTTGTACTCTACTCAAAGGCCAAATTATTTCATTATTCCCAAGAACTTTCGAAGGGATAAAAAGGGTTCATGCCAGCCATTACTAATGCCTACTCGTGCCACAGACTGGGAGCTCCCTGAGGGCAGGGAGGGCGCTAACCTACCCTCGTGTTCTCTGTGGCAGACAGAAAAGTGCCGCACGAGGGATGCAGCAACCAAAGAGGGATGCGGGGCTCAGACGTAGGGTTGGGGCAGGGGCTGGCTCGAGAGCGCTCGGGACGTACAGGAAGGGGCCAGGTACGATGCTCCATGAGAGCACCAGGCACTCAGTCAGGAGTTGGGCGTAAGTTCGGGCAAAGGCCTCAAAGCGCTCCAGCGACTGGCTAATCGCTCAAAGGGGCTGCCTAAGTGAGCGCCTTTGAGCCCCCAATCCCGTGTTTCTTCAGTTCCTGGGCCTGGGCTCCAGGCTCTCGGTTCTTCAACACGTCGCCCGGCCCGGTGCAGCGAACAGTTTTTCCTCAACCATTCCAGGGTTTCTGAGCCGTTCGGCTCGCAGCAGAAAAGTAAAAAAAGAGCCGCCCTTCCAGCCCAGGCTAGCTCCGGCCAGGCCACTCTAGCCCTGGCCGCCCCGCCACTCACCAGGTTGGGCAGTCGAACAGCGGGAGGCTGGAGCCGGAGTTCGCGGCTGCCGCCATCTTGCGTCTCCCCCTCCCATTTGGCGGGCCCGAAGCACGCCGGGAAACTGGAAGACCGAAAAGGGAAAAGCGGCATCCCAGCAGCCTGTGCGTACGCACGCTCACGCACGCACGCGCGTACGGGGGGCGGTGCTTCTAGTGGGGACAGTGTAGGTTTTGGGATTTTTTTTTTCCACTGTTTGTGCGAGTTGGCCGTCTCTGGAAGTCTCCAGTGTATGGTTTTCCTTGGCCAGGAGGTATCAAAGGAAAAGCGACTTTGTAGGGAGGGGAGTCAGTCTCTCCCTGCGTCCTCCTGCAAACGCTTCTGGGCTCTAAAATCTTGGGACTAAGCCGGGCGCGATGGCTCACGCCTGTAATCCCAGCACTTTCGGAGGCTGAGGCGGGCGGATCACTTGAGGTCAGGGGTTCGAGACCAGCCTTGCCAACATGGTGAAACCCCGTCTCTACTAAAAATACAAAAATTAGTCGGGGGTAGTGGCACACGCCTGTAATCCCAGCTACTTGGGAGACTGAAGCAGGAGAATCGCTTGCACCCGGGAGGCGGAGGTTGCAGTGAGCCGAGATCGCGCCATTGTACTCCAGCCAGGGCAACAGAGCGAGACTCCGTCTCAAAAAAAAAAAAAAAGAAAAAGAAAAAAAGAGAAGGAAAAAATCTGGGGACTGCATCCTCCTCCAACGTTTAGGTTAAGACCGTCAGCCTTTTGCCCTCAAAGCAGAGAAGCTAAAGGGCAAAACTTGGAGATTGGAGTGATTATTGTTTCTACTTATCCAGCCCTTCTCCAAAAAGTGGCACTTTACTCACTTTTTTCCTAATCCACGTCTAGGCCTGTAGATTATCAGGGAATCTGCATTAGGGGTCACCTGGTCTGTTTATGAAAACTCTGGACAAGCTGGAGCCAGGAGCAGGTCCAGTCAGAAAGCAGGGGTCCAAATCATCACTGTGCTTGGCTCAAATGGTTAATTTTTTAAAAAAGGATTTTTTGCTTTTGGTTATAGTGCAAGGAAGCATTAGGATTGCTGGCTTGCCCTAGATCACCAGATGACTGAAAGAGACCATTAGCAGGGCCTCTGGTTGTAATGGCATTGTCTGTTGAGCACTTACCTTGGCAAGTATGTATTTTATATGGATCATCTCATTTAATCCTGACAAGGCTCTTGAGTTAGGTATTATTATAATTCCAGAGGAGAGGCTCAGAGAGATTGAGTTGCCCAGCCTCACCCTAGAACAAGTGGTGAGTGGGATAAAAAAACCTAAACCTGTATGTTGCCAAAGGCCATGCTCATGAATCACTATTCTCTCTCACACTTTGATGTTGGTATAATTATGTTTATTATTAGCATGCAACTGATGCCCCTCTTCTTCACTTTTGTAGATGCCTTGGGAGGATTATCTGACTGGTTTTTCCTTTTTTAAATAAATCAATTGCTAAGTTCCTGTCATCCAGAAAGAGGCACTGCTCAGCAAGTTAAGGAATCTATGATGAAAGTAGTTCTTTTCTTGCTTCCATGCCACTGGTTCTGTAGAAAATCAGCCTATTCAAAAGATTTTTTGCCCTTGATGAAGTCTCCAGCCCTCAAAATGTAACTGCAATATAACTTAGAAGGAGCAAGATGATCCAAAAAGTAACAGCAATATAACATTAACTTGGATTTGAAGATGATCAACTCTTAGGTAGATTGGAGAAACCCCTTTTCCTCTGGCCTTTAAAGCACGATAAACTTATCCAGCAAGGATGGTGACTAATCAGATCACTTATCAAATGGCCTGTTAATATCCTCCTTTTCAGCCTTGTGATTCCAAAGACAGACTAGGCTGACTGGAAAAATTCAAATTCTAAACTTGATTTGAAGAAAACAGAAATAATCCTATGTCCCCCTCTTTTGAATACAGGGCATGATTTTTGAGAAGGAATTAGTCCCAAAAGCTTTTGAGTCTAACAGAAAAGAACAAGATACTTTCATCTACAGAAATCGTGTGAGCCTTTTGAGGTTCTATGCTCCTTTTAGGCATAACATGGTATTGAAGCCATTCCTAGTTAGCAGTGACCTGATAGCATCTTATGGCAACTTTGTCTTTCAACTTCTCAGCTTGTGTGATCCTTCTATTGCTGACTATAGACCCAGGAAACCTAAAAGCTACATCTTACCCTTCTAATTCTTTACTCCTTGGCCATGTTCTGTTTCTAGCACAGTAGATAATTCACACATGGCACCTTATGCTTACCTAGGCCCTCATAAAGCAAAATGCTCTTTGTTTGGGCACCAATGATGTCAGTATAGACCAGCAAACTAGAGGACAGCAATCTAGGTCCTTAACCTTTTAAAATAGACTGACGCACTAGCTGCCTTTGGATTTTGGTATCTCAATAAAGAGATTAGTATCTTGGCCTTTGATAGATTTCCTTAGAATAAGATCTAAAGACATTAGGAGCATATTGAGGTCAGAAAACTTTTTAAAATTTTTTGATTATTATGTTTTGAGATGGAATCTTACTCTGTCACCTAGGCTGGAGTGCAGTGGCAGGATTTCAGCTCACTGCAACCTCCACCTCCCAGGTCTAAGTAATTCTCCTGTCTCACCTTCCCAAGTAGCTGGGATTATAGGCATGTGCCACCACACACCTGGGGTTGCACCATGTTGATGAGGCTGGTCTCGAACTCCCAACTTCAGGTGATCCACCTGCCTCAGCTTCCCAAAGTGCTGGGATTACAGGTGTGAGGTACCATGCCCTGCCAGAAAACTTTTTTTTTTTTTTGAGACAGAGTCTTGCTCTGTCTCCCAGGCTGGAGTGCAGTGGCCGGATCTCAGCTCACTGCAAGCTCCGCCTCCCAGGTTCACGCCATTCTCCTGCCTCAGCCTCCCGAGTAGCCGGGACTACAGGCGCCCGCCACCTCGCCTGGCTAGTTTTTTGTATTTTTTGGTAGAGACGGGGTTTCACCGGGTTAGCCAGGATGGTCTCGATCTCCTGACCTCGTGATCCGCCCGTCTCGGCCTCCCAAAGTGCTGGGATTACAGGCTTGAGCCACCGCGCCCAGCCCAGAAAACTTTTTAAAAACTTTTTTTTTTTTTGAGATGGAGTCTTGCTTTCATCTCCCAGGCTGGAGTGCGATGGTGTGATCTCAGCTCAATGCAACCTCCGCCTCCCAGGTTCAGGCGATTCTCCTGCCTCAGCCTCCTGAGTAGCTGGGATTACAGGGACACACCACCACACCTAATTTTTGTATTCTTATTTATTATTTTATTGTTTTTTTCTTTTTGAGATGGAGTTTCGCTCTTGTTGCCCAGGCTGGAGTGCAATGGCACAAACTTGGCTCACTGCAACCTCCACCTCTCGGGTTTAAGCGATTCTCCTGCCTCAGCCTCCCGAGAAGCTGGGATTACAGGTGCCTGCTACCATGCCCAGCTAATTTTTGTATTTTTAGTAGAGACGGGGTTTCAACATGTTGGCCAGGTTGGTCTTGAACTCCTGACCTCAGGTGATCCATCCACCTCGGCCTCCCAAAGTGCTGGGATTATGCTGGGATTATAGGCATGAACCACCAAACGCGGCCTAATTTTTGTATTGTTAGTAGAGACAGGGTTTCACCACATTGGCCAGGCTGGTCTCGAACTCCTGACCTCAGGTGATCCACCCGCCTCAGTCTCCCCAAGTGCTGGGATTACAGGCATGAGTCACTGTGCCCGGCCCTAACTATGCTTTGTAAAGTAGGGAAGCAGCAGGTGATTCCCAGCCTTAGGGAACAGGATGGACTGAGATCTGAGTTGGGCTCTGGTCTGCAATTAGTGACCAAAAGCAAAAGCTGCATTCCCATGACTGAGGACAGTTTCTGAATAGAAAAAAAATATTGAATAGAGGTGGCTCAGAATGTTTTACTTTGCATAGACTGAACGGTAATTTCATTTTGATATTTTGCACTGCAGTGGGTGAACACTCCCATCCTTATCCCTTAGCAAAACGAACACGCGCACGCACGCGCACACACACACACGAGCGTGCACGCGCACACACATGCTCCCCTGGGAGTATCTATCTAGCATTTAGCAAGCTGTTATTCTGGAACATTCCCAGATTAAGTAGCCACAGTCACATTTCTACTTTACCTTATACCTTATACAGTACCATAGTTTTTTTTTCTTTTTTTTGTTTGAGACAGAGTCTTGCTGTTGCCCAGGCTGGAGTGCAGTGGTGCGATCGTGGCTCAATGCAACCTCCACCTCCCAGGTTCAAGCAAAGCTCATGCCTCAGCCTCCCAAGTAGCTGAGATTACAGGCGTGCGCCACCATGCCTGGCTAATTTTTGTAATTTTAGTAGAGGCAGAGTTTCACCATGTTGTCCAGGCTGGTCTTGAACTCCTGGCCTCAAGTGATCTACCCACCGAACCTCCCAAAGTGCTGGGATTACAGCCGTGAGCCACTGCGCCCAGCCCATAGTTTTATTAATAATTCATTGGAAGAGAGAATGCTAGATCTACTCAGTACTCCTGGGATATTCCATAAAAGAAGTAGAAAAGGGGTGAGAAAATGAAAGGAAGACAGAGGCAAAAATACAATTTGTATGTTCACACTAAACTGCCTTGGGTCCTTATAATCAGATACTTTTGTAGCTGGAAAAGAGCTACCGAGAAAACTTGGGGCCTAAAGGTTAAGTTACTTTTTCTTTTTTCTTTCTTTTTTTTCCCCCCTGAGATGGAGTCTTGCTTTGTTGGCCAGAGCTGGAGTTCAATGGCACGATCTTGGCTCACTGCAAGCTCTGCCTCCTGGGTTCACGCCATTCTCCTGCCTCAGCCTCCCGAGTAGCTGGGACTACAGGTGCCCGCCACCACGCCCAGCTAATTTTTTAAATATTTTTAGTAGAGATGGGGTTTCACCGTGTTAGCCAGAGATGGTCTTGATCTCCTGACCTTGTGATCCACCCGCCTCGGCCTCCCAAGGTGCTGGGATTACAGGCGTGAGCCACTGCACCCGGCTGTGAATCTTTTTTTTTTTAAATATAGAGCACTTTGGC